GAAACTGAACTTTATTATTATTACTAAAACAATAATTATTACTAATTTACAAGAATTAAGTAAACATCAAGATAAACGTGGTAAATACATATTAATTTTATTTTTTATTTTATTTTTTATGAGTTACAGTAAAATTTTGCTTAAGCTGCCCCTGACCAAAATTGTTGTTGTACTGTACCTTTTGTAAATGTGTAGTGGTCCAATAAATAAACGAAATGAAATGAAATTTGTTTTTTTAATTATCTGCTGATCAAAAAAAGTCAGCAGTATTTTGGCTATTATTTCTGCTCCTTTTGATCCTAGCACATCGGCGCACATGTGCTTAGCACTTCTCCAATAGTGAATGGCTTTTTAGCTTTAGAAATTTGTTCCGCCACAAGGAAACTAGCCTAAATAAATGGCTTATCAGAAGTTGATGCTTTCAAAATACTTTTACTTCTATGCAATTCATTCAAGGTTTGTGTTGGAGGGCTGGATGTTTCGATGTCAAATGCCTTTTTAATTGAAATTGCTTCATTGACTCTTTTGATCCTGTCCACCCACAATTTACACACTGTGACTTGTCTCCGTTCGCTACAATCCCTCATTCTAGGCATTCCTTCTTCTTAACATTATTTCAACTTCAGCAGCTTAGCGGTTAGAAAAGTAGACAAAACATAAAGTTATCTGAACGCGCTTCACATTAAATCCCCACAACTCATGTGAACTCAATCACCGCTGACCTAGATCGATTCATAGGTGTGCACGTTGGAAGTTTGATTACAACGCGCAGGGCTAGGTAGCTTTGATGTCAAAATCAAAGCGGAAAACTTGGCTTGAACACATTTCATCAAGTTTAATCATGGTCTTAGTTGTGAGGTGATTTTTGTATCACAAAATATACTATATTTCAAGATATCTTATTGCCGATATGGTCTCTACAAGTTAGGGCCTAGCTGAATTTTGTGATTTCTGTCAAGGTCTCGCAACCCACCAAAATATTTTGGCAACCCACAGTTTGCGGAACGCTGATCTACACTATTAACAAACTACAAAATAGACCTGTGTTATTTTCCTATCCCCCACAGTCGCACACTACGATGAAAATTGAATTGTAATAATTGAAAATTACTTTCATGAAACAAGCTTAATTAGAGCCCGAATAAATTTACATCAAATTCAATATTAAGTATGAACAATTAAGGAATTCATTGAATCAATGGACCCCCATAAACAAAAGAAACTGAACGTTTTGAAATAGGAATATTCTATACCTATTTTAAAGACTCAAGGAACAAATTTAGATGTAGGCCTACAGCCAGGCCTCTTCCTACTAGGCCGTAGCCTAGCCTAGTTATGAAATCATCTCACGATTTTTAGTACCTGTCTGCATGCACCGACCAAAAAGGTCAGTGACTGTATCCTCTCTCGAATGCTGAAATGTTTATTTTTTTAATGAATGTCTATCAAAATAGCATTACACAAGTTCTTTCTAACACAATACAAATTACAAAATACAATAGTTATTCATCGTATCCGTACTGTTATGCAGATGTGTAGTTAACGCATACTGCAGGAGCAAACATCAGCATACGCACAGCTAAATACTGATCATATCACTATAGCAACCAATGACTGCTACAACAGTTGGTTATCAAAAACTAAAATTAAAAGACGGCAATTGACTTATAAAGCAATTAGTAGAGCATGCATTGTACACTAATGGAAAATTATTATACGTAGATTAGATCTACAGTAAATTACGAAGAATAAATATTTGATGCCTATTATTCACCTATGGAATGCTCTAACAACTATTATTTATGAATTTAAGAACACTTATTATGAATTATTACCTTACAACTTATTGCTGCGAAGCAGCCAATTCATATTCTTAACAGCAATTTGACCTCTGAAAGGTCATTGTTTGTCAAAAAAACAAGGGCCTAAAACAACTGAAAAGCGGAGTTTCCTTCTTTCGTTCTGCCGGGTAAAATCAGTTACTTTAGGCGACATTTGTAGACTAACCTACTCGTACCAACGTCTGCATGTCGTGACGCTGGAGTACTATTCAGCGTTTTTACTATATTTCTAGGTTTCCTATTTCTACGTTTAATCGGCCCATGTCTCAGCCACAATATTTTGAGGCCAATATTATTTACGAACCCAGTTAAACTTATTTACTAGCCTATTTCAACGTGCTAATTATTACATTTAGGCGACGCTTGTTGTAGATTGGCATACACAGTGTTTATGGAAATAAATACCATTTTATACACATGCGCAGATCAATTCGCCAGCAGCGGGTCATCGTCAGCAGCAGCGAGTCGCCAGCAGCGAGATGTCACTGCAGCAAAACACTATTGTACACGGTACCAACGTTGTTCTAATATAGACAATGGATCGTGTTTCATATTATTTGTTATATTTTTTTATTCATTATTTTCAATTGACTCGCATAAATAATTTTGTTCGAAGAACATTTATA